TAAGGAGGTCATATGAGAAAAACGATTTGTATATTCTTGCTGCAGGGAATTTCTATGATTAAGAAAGAATGAATTTTGTTTTCTAATATCGCTTTCATATTTTAGAAAAATATCGGGCTTACTTTGTATTGAAACTGTACCTTCTTCTTTTATTTTTGTGCAGAAAGAAAAAAAATTGAAGAGTGAATGTCAAGATAAAGTTTTTTTTCAAGTAAAATAAATTTTGCTTGAAAGTTTATTTCTGTAAGGAAAAAAAATCAGTTGTTACGGGTATAATTTCTTTTAGCTTAGCAATGCAAATACATGGAATTTAATCGGTATAAACATATGGTGGGGCAGTTTACGCTTTATAAGAAGGATGTGGAGATAACAAACAGTATTCAATCTCAAAGTTCATAAAACAATACAAAATAAGAGCAGAGCAAACACGGGCCCCCGAAACATCAGAGGTATGATCAGGTGCCATGGAAGCGTCATTGATGAATGAATTAAAGAGATATTATAGTTTGGCTATAGATATCCTCATGATATTTGAAATAACGAATTTTAATGTCTCTCTAATTTTGTCAATCATTGAATGAATCCATAAACGGGATATTATATTTTAGAGTATCGGTATCCTTTAAAATAAATTTTAATAAGAAACTTACAGTTCCGTCAAATTCGTCAAACCACTAAATGCATTGTCTTCGATTGTATTTATTCTGTTGCCGTCTAGGTACCTGAAATATAATGCGAAGAGCGAATGTCAACTGTAAGCATTTGTTAATAACTCTCACCAGTCTTACAATACAGGTACCCGGTATATTATAACTCTAACCAGTCTAACGATACAGGTACCCGGTATATTAAATATTAACAGGTATATCCTCAATTTCCTTATTCGGTCATCTAAACTACGTATCATACAATAAACTAATTCTTCCTTTTAATCCTTAGATTGTTCCATGTATATACTCTTCACATTTTTCAAATAAATCAAATAAATCAAGACAAGTGAGTTACATGTATTACGCTGTTCCTTTTTCAGGTTTGGACAAACATTAATGTAAAAAAAAAAATCAGACGTCACTATATTTTTCTTTGCATTGTTGAATCAAAACATTTTAGGAGATTATACTATGATGAATAGTTACTCAAAACTCAAAAACATATTGATTAAAACACAAAGAAAACCCTTACAATAATTTCAGGTTCGTCAAGCCGGAAAACGCGGTGTCCTCTATCGTAGTAAACTTGTTGAAGGAAAGACGTCTAAAACATGGAAGAGTAAATGTCAATAACAAGTCTTTTGATCCATGCAAAATGAATGTATCTTTATTCTTTAAGAAAAAAAGAGATTGACACATAGAAAAGTTTATTCTCCTCACAATGGAAATATATTGAATTAAGGACAGATGATACAAACAAATGAAATAGATGCATGGATTGGTATATATTTTTTGACCTAATTTCAATGCAAATGATGCAAATAATAAATTACTTCAATATAAAGGAATTCCATTTTTGCGCAACTTTACTTTCAAAATGCAAATATGCTAAATTAACCCGGTATAAACGGGGTTGGGACAATTAACGCTATATAAACTGCAGAGCGTCAATAAAGAATGAGTGCGCCGAATATTATTGTTTGAAGAATAGATACCCAATCAATATTTTAAATTACGGACATACAGCAGTCTCTCTTATCTTGTCAATCATTGAATAAATCCATAAACGGGATATTATATTTTGGAGTATTAGTATTCTTTAAATAATTTATAATATCACACTTACAGTTTCTATTACTAATTCTGACTAACAAACTTACAGAGTCTTTAATTTTGTCACACCACTGAATGCATTGTCTTCGATAGTGGTTATTCTGTTGCCGTCTAGGAACCTGAAATATATTTAGAAGTGTGAATGTCAAGTCTAAGTATTTGTTATTAACTCTAACCAGTCTCACGATACGTGTACCGGGTATATTAAATATTAATAGGTATAACCTCAATTTCTTTATTCATTCATTTAAACTACGTACCATACATTAAACTAATTCTTCCTTTCAATCCTTAGATTGTTCAATGTAAATACTCTTCACATTTTTCAAATAAATCAAATAAATCAAAACGAGTTACATGTATTATGCTGTTCTTTATTCAGGTTCGGACAAACATTAATGTAAAAAAAAAATCAGACGTCACTATATTTTTCTTTGCATTGTTGAATCAAAGCTTTTTAGGAGATTATACTATAATGAATAGTTACTTAAAACTCAAAAACATATTGGTTAAAACACAAAGAAAACCCTTACAAGTCCTCCAGGTTCGACAAGCCAGAAAAGGTGGTGTTCTCTATCGTAGTAAACTCGTTCGAATAAAGGTTTCTAAAACATTGAAGAGTAAAAGTCAAGTTTTTTGATCCATGCAAAAAAAACGTATGTAATTAAAACTACAGATTAAAACATGAAAAAGTTTATTATCCTCACAATGCAATTATATTGAATTAAGGACAGATGATAGAAACAAAAAAAAATAGATGCCCGGATTGGTATATATTCATTGCAGATGATGCAAATAATAAATTAATTCAATTTAAAGAAATTACGAACCACCTGTGACGTTTAAAATTCTATCCCCCTGAAACCATACTTATTATTCTATACAAGTATTTTTCAATTCAAATTCCATTTTTGCGCAACTTTACTTTTAAAATGCAAATACATTGAATTAACGCGGTATAAACTACAGAGCGTCAATAAAGAATGAGGGCGTTGAATATTATAGTTTGGAGAATAGATATTCCATAAATATTTTTAATTACGAACTTAGAGGAGTCTCTCTTATCTTGTCAATCATAGAATGAACCCAAACATTGAATATTACGGTTAAGAGGATTGATATGTCATATCAAACATTTTAATGAGTGATTGCCCTTGAAATTTTTTTATGTTAACAAAGAATTAAAAATTTATTAAAACGGTAAGTCGCAGAGACATTAAACCAACCACATATGATTTTTTTGTCAAGGAAGGATAAGGAGATAACGAACAATTTTCAGTCTCGTTTAAAGTCATCATTTCGTAGGTTCTATGGTCGATACAACAACCTTGTCAGGAAATACAATTCATCATTGAGTCAAATGCTGACTGACGTTTTTCATACCAATTGTTAGTTTATTATTTATACACTGAATTGACGACGGATATTTCCATTATTTCACGATTATGACAATGAGCACACAGTGGGTGTGACCGGTGTCGCATAATATTTGGTCCGCCTCGTTTAAAGGTCCGGTCGGACCAAATACGATAACAAATTTGGTCCGCCTGGCTCTATAAGAAAAGGTCCGCCCTCGGCCTTTTATGCAAATTGTATCCATGTGAATGAACAGATAAATGTTCGTAAGTCCAACACGAATCATTCAGTTACACTCTCTTTCCTATGAACATGATAAACGTTTGACTAATCCACTCACAAAAACTGAAGTTCATATCTTTCAAAATATATTTCTTTATAATATTGATAAAAGAAATCTGTCATTCTTTACGTTTAATATTGTTGTAAAAAACTGTAGGGTCACTAGCTGTGACAGGGACTTATGTCACGATGTACTACCCTACACCCCTTATTGTAAAAACAACATGCTTACGGATTGGGCAGTTGGGGTTAGCCTATAATTGTTACGTTTGAGAAAACCTAAGGTACCATATTCCCTGTGTATTTTTTTATAAGTTAACACTGTTTCTTACCTATTCAAAGGCTAATTATTATATCTTCTAGATCTCTGCATTTCATTTCCTGAATTTAACATTGCCGAAAATTTTTGTTATTATTTCGGAATCCGACAATTTTATTTTCATTTTCGACAATATTTCTTTCTTTTTTTTCACATTTTCGTTTTTTTCACATTCACAATACATGTACCTAAATCTGTTCCAGGGTAAAATCAATTTTCTTTGACAGCTAAGAGCAAAGTCTTTTATTTGAATGAATTATCTTAAATATTTTACCTTAAGGATTTTTATAACGGATACATGAATTCTTTTTCATTTACGAAAAAAGTACTGACATGAATTTGACAAATGTCGGAGATAAAAACTTTTAAAAAATGTAAAAACTTAAAAATGTCGGAAATGAAAAGTTCAGAAAATTCCTGAAATGAAATGCAGCCTACTATATATTACTCCGAGACAAGGTAAATGTGCATTAATTGACGAAATCAAACCAAATTAAGTCGATAAAATGCTGGATTTATAAATGCTTTTATTTTTCATATTTAATATATATACATGTCGCTCATATGAAATCTCTGTGCTCTACATTTATGATATATTATTTATACTTATGTCTCTCGGTTTCGGTTTCAATAAAAATCCGAACATTTTATACCCCCTCCTAAATGTTTTTTTTTGGGGGGGGATGTAATGGAGTGTAGTAAAATCACGCAGATACCTGTCAAAAAAGTTTAAAGTTTTAAAGTATATCGATATTGTAGATATAAAGCTCTTGAGTTTAAAGCCACACAATTTCAGAAAAGAACGAATGCCAGGTGAAATGTGAAAAAATAAACAAAGTTAGCAAATTTTTTTTTATCAAATCATTAATTGATCAATCATTAATTGATATCTAAACCAACGATTCAACAATTTTTTACCATGGAATTCACAAAAAATAAAGAACAAAACCATACAATGTGGTAGGGGTCAGCCGACTTTTGTGATCTTCTATTAATAGTAAATCGAGAACGGTCATTCATTTCAAAGTTTTTGTTTACAACGAGCCTAACTTTGTACAAACTTGTGTGAATGGCAAAAGACGTATAATACATTTACATAGCTTGTGTGAAAGTAGGAAATTTGCACACTATTAGGCTGGTAATTAAAATATTAATTAAGGAAGTTCTAAACACTGCATACTTAAAAAGTTCTAACTTCTTGTTTTCAAGTTACGAAAATAAACCCTGTCCAAAAATTTTCCCTTTCTAACATAAAAATATATAAAATACAGAGGGCGGACCTTTTCTGATAACTGCGTGTTAAGGTCCGCCCTGTCTCTTTCCCTAGTTTTTTTTTTAAGCTCCGAAAATAAACCCTGTCCAAATATTTCCCTTCATGACATGAATATTCCTGAAATACAGAGGGCTGACCTTTTCTGATAACTGCGTTTCAAGGTCCGCCCTGTCTATTTTTTTTTTAGTTTTCAAGCTACGAAAATAAACCCTGTCTAAAATGTTCCCTTTCTAATATAAAAAATATCTGAAATACAGAGGGCGGACCTTTTCTGATAACTGCGTTTTAAGGTCCGCCCTGTCTATTTTTTTTAGTTTTCAAGCTACTAAAATAAACCTTGTCTAAAATTTCCATTTCTAATATTAAAAATACTAAAGTATCTGAAATACAGAGGGCGGACCTTTTCTGATAACTGCGTTTTAAGGTCCGCCCTGTCTATTTTTTTTTTAGTTTTCAAGCTACGAAAATAAACCCTTTCTAAATGTTCCCTTTCTTATATAGAAAATAAATTATCTGAAATACAGAGGGCGGATCTGTCTATTTTTCTAGTTTTCCAGCTACAAAAATTTAACCCTGTCCAAAAATTTCTCTTTATATCTGAAATACAGAAGGCTGACCTTTTCTGGTAACTACGTTTTAAGGTCCGCCCTGTCTCTTTCTCTATTTTTAAGTTACGAAAATATACCCTGTCTAAAAAAAGTCCCTTTATGACATAAAGATTTATGAAATAAAGAGGGGGGCCTTTTCTGATTACTGCGTTCTAAGGTCCGCTCTTTTAGCTTTCAAGTTACGAAAATAAACCCTTTCCAAAAATTTCACTTTATGACATGAAGATATATGAAATACAGAGGGCGGACCTTTTCTGATAACAGCGTTTTAAGGTCCGCCCTGCCATTTTCTCTTTTGTAAATAAGGTAGAGATGTACATGTACCCAACAAATACTTTTTGCTGTGCAAAAGGAAAATAACTAATTAAAATAAAGAGGCGGACCTTTTCTGATAACTGTGTTTTAATAATTTTTTTTATCTTTCAGTAAAGAAGCATATCTAAAAATTCCTTTTTTTAAACACGAAGATATCCGTAAAAAAAAAAAAAAAAAAAAAAAAAAAAAAAACAGAGGGCAGATCTTTTCTGATGACTGCGTTTTTTTGCAGTTATTTATGCTACAGTAGAGAACCATATAGAAAAATCCCTTTTTGAAACATGAAGATAGCTGAAATACAGAAGGCGGACCTTTTCTGATAACTGCCTTTTAAGATCCGCCCTATTTCTTTTTTTTCTTTTTTTTATGCTTCAGTAATAAGCATATCTAAAAATTCGTTTTTTAAACATGAAGATATCAGAAAAAAGAGAGGGCGGACCTTTTCTGATAACTTCGTTTTAAGGTCCGCCCGCCATTTTCTCTTTGTTAATGTAAGAGGGAGAGAAAAAAATGTACCCCGTCTATAATTTTTGCTGTGCAATAGGAAAATATCTGATATACAGAGGGCGGACCTTTTCTGATAACTGCATTTTAAGGTCCGCCCTGCCATTTTCTCTTTTGTTAATGATAGATGTACACCGTCCAAAAGTTTTGTTGTGAAATTTATCAGTGCTGTTGTACACAATCAAAGCACAGAGATTTTTCTTGGAATTTTACAAGAATTTTATCGATTGATATCTTTTCAAAAGCCCCTGGAAATGCATGCTGATTTTTTGTCTGTCAACATCTGATGACACGATAATCTTAAATTAAAAATATCTCGAAAATCTCTCAGTAGGTAAGGTATATGGCATATGTCCTTAAACATAAGAAGGTGGTGGGGTCATGTTACAACGTACGTGTATCTGATGTATGTCTTTCACAGTGACAGGGGGATCAATTTATCTGAAAAAAATTAACAATAAAAAAACGGGGAAAGAATATTGTCCAAATTCCAAAATCCTATTTTGGAGAGAGAGAAAGAGGTGGGGTCAGGTTCAACTTCTTTCATTCAAACATTACCCTCCTTATTACAGCCTTGTTCGTGTTCATTTACTTTTAATTTTTGATACGCAATGAGCAGATGGAAAGAAAAAAGGGGGTTATCCCCCCATTCACTTCATCGCCCGAGGTGCTTGTATTATCTTTTTTAAAATTATATTATTATATATATACAGTTTATGCTATAAAGTTATTAATTATTATTTTATCCAAAGTTGTATTAGGCAATGTCCGGAACAGCACATGCGCAATTTATAGCATATATAAAAATCGAATTCCGAGAATCTTTCATGGACCAGATTGTATTATTTTCCTTATGTTTACCACGGAGAATGACTGATGACTTGTGACTTTGTAAAGGTTAATTTAAGGACATCGTTAAAGTTCCTAGCTTTCATATACAGAATTGTTAAAGAACACTTGCATAGATCATCAGGGGTATTGGTATATACTAAACATGATATAATCAATCAATTTAAGCCACCCTTCCTTTTTAGATTATGACAAATCAATAGATTTTCTTACTGTTTCCTGTGGAGAATGTTGGTAACACTTTAAGGAATTTTACACTGGAGATCACTCTCCGCTAGCTTTATAAAAGGAAAAAGAATAATAGATAAAGTTAAATAATGATTTATTCAATTGATTTTAAAAAATGGCTGAAAGTGGTCGACAACAAGTAAATGTACAAATTATTTATTATGCGAATCTGAAGCCTGAAATGGAAATATGATGAACACTTGGCACGTCACTGAAACATTCAGTCAATATATTTCTGGGTACTGTTGCAGGAGGGGCACAGTTATAAAATTAAAAAGGAAACTTGATACACAACAAATGAAGAGGGTCAAGTGATCACATGATGGATCTAACTGTAAACACGTGTATGCTTTATTTATTTTTTTCTATTTTTGGGTATATGGACGAGTACTTAAAAACTTTTTTCCCCTCAGGCTTATTCTTTTCATACAGGCGTGAGATAAAGGCTTTATCGAAAGGCTTCATGTCGGTTATAAAAGAAAATAATTTATCGTTATGGTTACTGAAAAAGAGTTCAAAATATAATCGTTATTGCAAAACAAGGTCATCCTGTATTCTGCAACTGTCACAATGAAAGATGTAATAATTTCTTTTTTTTCGGCAAAAATATATAAATATATATCATTATGTACAAGAATGGATTAGATCAAAACCATTAAACTTTAATGCTGATGTATACTGTAGTTATGTTTTCTTCCTTTAGTCTTTAACGGACCGGAATATTACAATCATGTATTATGTTATGTAGTAAATGTAAATAAAGATCGAATTCAAGGTTAGGTTATATTTTACACAATCAACAATTAAAGGACCAAAATATGATAATAAACGGGAAAAAAGGTATATCTGTGACGACTACTAACTACTGTAAACCAGAGAATTACATGTACTCTTTATCGGTATAAAACTCTACAATTGGATGAGAAATTTCTGTAAAGTCATATAGGGTGTTTTTTAATAATATCAGAGAAACTATTATTAAAAAGATCTTTCTGTTTGTTTTTGTACTTTATATAACGATATGACCGCTGCATTTCATTTCCGGAATCGGCATAGCATTTCCTATATTTTTTTAATTTCATTTCCGACAAATTCTCTTTTCTTGGCCGATATTTATTATTTCTTTTCATTTCCGGAATTTCTGCTGGGTGTCTCTCCGACAAATTAATGTTTACCAAGTATTTTGAAAGATCATTTTGCCCACAACTTTTAAAAGATATTAGCAAAATATACTCAGTATTACAAAATCTGTGTATTTATACAATGGAACATGTAGCACTATATCTAGTTAAAAGAGTTCAAAGAGCATGTAATTTTTTCATCATATTTAATGTTCACTAAATTAAATGTCAAAGACTGCATCGAACTTATGTCCAAGACATATAATATATTATACAGAGTGTAATTTATTCTTTAAAATTTTTAATTACCGAAAAGCACTTCCTGAAAAATGTCGGAGATGAAAACTATAAAATTTCGAAACTGAAAGCCAGAAAATGTTAGAAATAAAAATTGAAATTTTTAAAATCCGGAAAAAGCATGATGAAATAATTAATATAATAAATAATAATGAGAGGATAATGAAAATTATACATCTTAACGATAATCAATCGTGTTTCATAGATATCAGAGATTATAAAAACAATGAACGATTTTTATTGACTCGGTATTTAAATATCAGACACAGTTAAAAGTCAATTTAACTATAGAAACAAGGGGATATTTAAATTCATAATAGAATTGAAATTTTATTTTGAACTTAAATATAAAATCTCATGTAAATCTACGCTCATTCATTTCGTTTTCTTATTTTTTAGCTCAGTTACGCCACATTTAATTAGCTTTGAATATTCAAAAAAGACAATATATAATTATAATTATTATAAATGTCACAGGTTTGAAGTTTACGCATGAATATTTCCTTGACATTATTTATGAATAAAAAAATCCAAACTTATTGATATGTCAAGGTAAATCATGACCATTAAGTTCTCAAACCATTCAATTACAGCGCCATCTGCCGCGGGCTCTACCTGCAGGTACCTGTCAGGTAAACAAATACGTCACACCCCCATTGTTTTATTAGCTATACACACTGACAGATTTCACACCTTTAATCGAACTAATTTTCACAAGGCTGTTCTAGAGAAAAACAAACACTTGCACAATAATTGTGCCATTATTTTATTTTAAATCATGGTATCAGATAAACAGCAATGCTTAAAGCAAACTGAACGAGGAGTAGATTCTTGTCCTAGAGATATGTTGTACAAAACATAAAACACAAAAACAGGGTAAACCCTTCTTTCATTATATAGTTTAAACAAAATCGATTTGATTTCCTATGTTTAAGTCAAAATTAAAACGTTTTTCACCACGCGGACCATAAAACGTAGGCGGACCATTCCTTATACGGGCCGGACCATTTCTTATAAAAGTCTGACCAAATATGTTATCGTATTTGGTCCGGCCAGACCTTTAAACGAGGCGGACCAAATATTATGCGACACCGGTCAGCAGGGGATGCTCATACCTCCAGGGCACCTGATCCCACCTCTGATGTTTCGGAAGTCCGTGATTGCTTTGCTGACAATGACATTGTTCCGACCATAGAACTTACGAAATGATGACTTTAAACGAGACGGCTGATATTCTATTTTCATGAACTTGCTTGTAAATAATTTACCTCGTTTTAGAAATTGTTCATACGTAAGATCACAGGCCAACATCATTTAAAATATGAGATAAAATTGGAATGGAACATACTCCCGGTCCAAAGACTTTCATGAGCATGTTCCTATGCACTCGATGAATGTAAAAAAAACGTGTCAAACGCCGTAATCTTATTCATATCTGGCAATATAATTACTTTCCTAGTTCGAATACGTGCATATGCAAAGAGATTAAGAACCTAAAATCTTTTAATTGAAATATGTATTACGAAAAGTAAATAATAAACTCCATAAAAATTCAACAGTAAACAAAGTTTCACTGCATCTCATACAGCATATTAACTTATGCTTAGTCCGTGATGATTAAAAGTTTGGACAGACTCTCTCTCTCTCTCTCTCTCTCTCTCTCTCTCTCTCTCTCTCTCTCTCTCTCTCTCTTTCTTTCTGCTGAGTAATTCATTTTAGTACAGAGCAATTCATATTTGTAAAAAATGCTATTTAACAGACAAAGTGAACATAATAACGATGTAATAGGTAGATGTGAAAGGTAAAAAAAGCAATGGATCTACAATTAAATGTTTCGTTTGTCATTAATTGTTTTTTTTTAATTCTAGAAGTCAAGTTGGCAAAGAAGTAAATCAAAATGTTGACACTGATAAATGAACTTTAAACTATTTCAAAGGTTTATTTTATATCTTTCTTTTTTCATGCAAGATCATGTTTTATCAAAACAGCTTATGTTGCCTTAATGACAATCGTAATTACAGCTGAGACATTTTTTTAATGGTTTACACCAAATTAGAAATAAATTGTATACTTAATCACAGTGTACTTACAAAAAACATGTGTCGATGGGGAGTGTGGAAGGTACTTCTGTTAAACTTTCTTGCCTGCAATCTGCGTATTGTCCAGAGCATTCCACCGACCGTCTACAGGTACAAGGGGTACAGGCTTCAATCATAGAATCAAATAAGAAAGCACAGAAAGCCAACGCCCAAAGTGTCCAGTTCATCTTACAAACCGGTATGCTATGTCTACAACTTGTGTCAAACTCTGCAGTACTAAGGAATACACTTGCTATCATTCCCAAGGATGTTTTTATACTGTAGATGTACCTAAATACGGATATAGTTCACAAGTAATACGGATCTTTCTTTATTTACATCATTTGCTCTTTCATTAACAAATGATCTTAGTACATGTAGTACTACGACCTCTATAACCAATCTAATAACTTACAAATCACTACTTATAAATTTAAGTTCTTTACTTACTAACTATTTTTGTTTTGGGGATACAAAATGTAGAAGTATAGTGCTAACAAAATAAATCTATTCCAGCTAAAATCAGGGTTCTCAAGTGGCCGTTTAACGTGCTGGCCCCGATTAAAATATTAGAGTCACAGTTAGATGGTCGTCATCAGTTAGATAAATAGATGCTTTTGAATATCAAACGAAACTCTATAGACTGTTATTCATTTTCTAAGGTTAAACTATTAATCTGCTCTAATTACGGACCATTGCTTGGATTAAATAATCAGTTCTCTTTCAGGTCCTCGCTGAATACATGAATGAAAAAGACACAAATAATTCATGTTTAACTGGTTCTACAGATAAACAGGTCGCTGAAAGTGAATCGACACTGCGAGTCAAAATATCGTTAATGTAGCCTTACTAATCATGTGTCTTTGTTATGTTGTAAAATTAACCAAATTATATTTTAGGACTCTTATTTTTTTTCTGAATTCAAGAGTGTTTGAATATTTCAATCTTCATGCCTGTTATTTCTAATACAAACGTGCTTGCATGACTTACCAGAACTTCCTCTGTCATTTAATGAATAGGTGTAAAATATACTTTATTAACAACAATCTTTTTTAGAAGAGGGTTAAATACTTAAAAATTGTTTTTGCTGTTATTTTGACTTTACGATATCTGGAGATAATATACAATTATTGCTGATTTTTGAGGTCAATACAATGATTTAGCCATCCGAGGAGTACAATATTCACCGAGCCCGATGATGGCTAAATAATTGTAATGACCGAAAAAATGGCAATAATTGTTTCATTATATGATTCACCTACTGAATGATACAGCTCATAACTTGTTTGCATTTTATTATGTCCTAGCCAAATAAAAGAGAGAAGTAGAATTAAAATGTGAATAAACCATACCAGTCGTATTAATTTGAAATATTTTTTAAATCAATTTTAGTTGCCATGAAAGAAATATATAATGTCAGTCTTTTTTATAGGAGAGATTTCGAAAGGAAGTAGTATTTTCAGTGAAAACTGACGGCTAAAAAGTAAAACAAAAATGTTGTTCAGTAATGGAAGGGAGAGTCCCTGCATCCCCTCTTACCTCCCTCACCCAAAATATATATTCGCTTATGTTTTGTTCACATGAAAATAAAAAACATAGTCGTTTAAATAGCTTTGTAAAACAATTTGTATCAATTTGGAATTTCCCAATCT